GCCTATATTACTTTGATTTTGATTCACCTACTTGGGCTCTACAGACTTTGTTGTCTCCTTTTCAGTGTCATTGTAGTCTTAGACATCCCTCTCTCCAGAATCTGAAGCGTCAGGTTTCCAGTCTTAGCTCTTTATCGTCTTTGTCTTGTGAAGCTTGTCAACTTAGTAAGCATCACCGTGTGTCATTTTAGTCTCGAGTCACTAATCGTGTGTCTAGTCCATTAGAGTTGGTACATTCTGATGTATGGGGTCCATAGTTATTAGTATCGTACGATACGTCACGGTGCAGGGCTAAAACGATACGGATCGTAGTTTTGTATTGTTTTTGCGTTGTATCGTCCGATTAACGATATGTTTTTACGATACGATACGAATGATACGTGAATTCTCTGTTTAATTTTTTTTTTTTCGTTGACAGCACCAAATCAGTTCGATTTGCACCAAATTACTTCGATTTGCACCAAATCGTTGGCAGCAAAAACAGAGATGAAGAAACCAAGCCCACAAATCAGAGAATAGAGAAAATGCCAAAAAAAAAGGCAATAGAGAAGAAGACAAGAATTACTAGGCAACAAATCAGCAAAAATACCCAAGCAAAAGCAAATCAAACAAATTTTTGAAATTGGAAAAAATAACAACACTAACTTGGATGAAACCCTAGGTCTCACGATCTCTCTCTTCATCGCTTGAGCTGCAACAACGAGTACCAGCCACCAGGTATCTTTTTCTTCTTCTCCTTCTTCTCTCCCTCCAGCACCGGCATCGCCATCGCCATCGCCATCGCCTTCGCCTTCACCTTCACCTTCGCCAGTCGCCTCTTGCCTCTTCTCTCTCTGTCTCGTTTTGTTCATAAGTTTGTGACTCAGGACTGTGTTGGTTTGTTATAAATAGGAAAATTACATTTTATACCCCCATTATATTATAATTTTTTATTTTTAAGTATATATAAGTACCATTAATTTAATTTGATACCCTTAATTATTTTTTTAATATTAATAAATTATATTGGTGACTTGCATAATATGTAGAATATTAATGAAATGTTATGTTTTTATGAGTCTATGCTTTTTTTTCAAAAGTATATATATTTTATTATTAATTATTTAAAATTGCGCCGTATCTTACAATACACGATACGATACGATACGATACACTATTTTAAAAAAATGATACACCTTCCGATACACGATTTGATAACTATGATGGGGTCCAATAAAGAATATTTCATCTAATAAATATCCTTATTTTGTGTCATTTGTGGATGACTATTCTCGTGTAACTTGGTTGTTTCTGATGAAAGTTCGGTCTGAATTATTTTCTATATTTGAGACATTTCGTAAGGAAATAAAAACTCAGTATGAGTGTCGTATCCGTATTTTACTTNAATATTTCATCTAATAAATATCCTTATTTTGTGTCATTTGTGGATGACTGTTCTCGTGTAACTTTGTTGTTTCTGATGAAAGTTCGGTCTGAATTATTTTCTATATTTTAGACATTTCGTAAGGAAATAAAAACTCAGTATGAGTGTCGTATCCGTATTTTACTTTCTGATAATGTTCAGGAATATGAATCTGATCCTTTTTTAGCTTATCTTAATAAAACTGACATTATTCATCAGATTTCTTGTGCTTATACCTCTCCACAAAATGGTGTTGCTGAACGCAAAAATCGTCATTTGTTGGAAGTCACCCGTGCCATGTTATTTCAGATGAATATTCCCCGATATTTTTGGAGTGATGCTCTTACTACTTGTCATCTTATTAATCGTATGTCATCTTTTGTGTTAAATGGACAAAGTCTATATTCTGTTCTTTTTCCTGATAAACCCTTATTTTTCCTGACTCCTATGNAGTCACCCGTGCCATGTTATTTCAGATGAATATTCCCCGATATTTTTGGAGTGATGTTCTTACTACTTGTCATCTTATTAATCGTATGTCATCTTTTGTGTTAAATGGACAAAGTCCATATTCTGTTCTTTTTCCTGGTAAACCCTTATTTTCCCTGACTCCTATGGTTTTTGGATGTGTCTGTTATGTTCACAATTTGGGTCCTGGGTTTGACAAACTTGACCTCTGAGCTACCAAATGTGTATTTCTTGGTTACTCTCGCACGCAGAAGGGGTATCGTTGTTACAGTCCTTCTCTGCATTGATACTTTACTAGTGCCGATGTCACGTTTGAAGCATCTGTTTCATTCNGTCCTGGGTTTGACAAACTTGACCTCTGAGCTACCAAATGTGTATTTCTTGGTTACTCTCGCACGCAGAAGGGGTATCGTTGTTACAGTTCTTCTCTGCATTGATACTTTACTAGTGCCGATGTCACGTTTGAAGCATCTGTTTCATTCTTTCCAGCACCTTCTCAGCCTTTGGATCTGGACTTTGGATTATCTCCTGTACTACCATCTCTTTCCTCATCTTCAGACGTTCCGCTGCCCACTATGTTACCATCTACTTTACCTCTCCGTGTCTACTCTTGTCGTTCTCGCCCATCGACTGAGGTGCCCGTACTATCTTCCTTGCCGCCTTATGATCCTGGTACATCAGGTAATTTAGACTCTTTACCTATTGCTCTTCGCAAAGGTACTCGTTCGTGTGTTACTAATCATCCAATTTCTCATTTTGTTTCATATGATGCCTTGTCTCCTATCTTTTCCTGTTTTACTTCCCAATTATCTGCTATATCTATTCCTAAGCATTTACAGGATGACTTATCTGATCCGGGTTGGAGGAAAGTTATGGAGGAGGAGATGAATGTTTTACATTATAATGGGACTTGAGATCTCATTCCTTTACCTCTNGGTTGGAGGAAAGTTATGGAGGAGGAGATGAATGTTTTACATTATAATGGGACTTGGGATCTCATCCGTTTACCTTTNGTTATGGAGGAGGAGATGAATGTTTTACATTATAATGGGACTTGAGATCTCATTCCTTTACCTCTGGTAAACAAACTATTGACTGTCATTGGGTGATACTGTTAAATTTCATCTAGATGGTTCTGTGGAGTGTCTCAAAGCCCGACTTGTTGCAAAGGACTTTACTCAGACTTATGGTGTTGATTATGAGAAGATTTTTTCTCCTGTTACCAAAATTTCCTCTATTCGTATCTTAGTCTCTTTGGCTGCTAATCTTGATTGGCTCTTATTTCAGTTAGACATCGAGAATACCTTCCTACATGATGACTTGGTTGAAGAGGTATACATGAAGCAGACACCTGGGTTTACTGCTCAGGGGAGTATGGTAAGAGTGTATGTCGGTTAAAGAAATCTTTGTATGGTTTGAAGCAGTCACCTAGGGCATGGTTTGATAAGTTTTCAGATGCAGTTTTAGAGTTTGGTCTTCTTCGATGTCAGACAGATCATTCTGTGTTTCATAGACAGACAGATGCTGGATATGTCCTATTGGTGGTCTATGTAGATGATATTGTGATTACTGGGAATGATTCTAAGGGGATTGTCAAGTTAAAAATATTCTTACAGGATCGATTTCATACTGAGGAAACTCAGGTATTTCTTGGGTATTGAGGTGGCTCGATCTAAATAAGATATTTGTTTATTCTAGAGGAAATATGTACTTGACGTGCTTGAGGAAACAAGTTTGCTGGGTGGTAGACCGATTGATGTTCCTATGGATCCGAATCAGAAATTATTGATGGATGATGGTGCATTGTTTGAGAATTAGAGTCAGTATCACAGATTGGTTGGAAAGCTTAATTATCTTACTATTACTAGACCGGATATTTCCTATGCAGTCAGTATAGTAAGTCAGTTCATAGNTACTTGACGTGCTTGAGGAAACAAGTTTGCTGGGTGGTAGACCGATTGATGTTCCTATGGATCCAAATTAGAAATTATTGATGGATGATGGTGCATTGTTTGAGAATTAGAGTCGGTATCACAGATTGGTTGGAAAGCTTAATTATCTTACTATTACTAGACCAGATATTTCCTATGCAGTCAGTATAGTAAGTCAGTTCATAGGGTGTCTTAGAGTACCACATTGGGAGTCAGTTACTCGTATTCTGCGATATCTCAAACGAGCTCCTGAACTTGGACTGTTATATCAAGCTAATGGACATCTTAGAGTGGAAGGTTTCTCAGATGCTGATTGGGCTGGCTCTCCTTTTGATCGAAGATCAACCATTGGATATTGTACTTTCGTAAGAGGTAATGTTGTCTCATGGAAAAGTAAGAAACAATCCGTGGTAGCAAGATCCAGTGCTGAGGCTGAGTATAGGGCAATGGCACATACGACGAGTGAGTTGACTTGGCTACTACACTTCCTCCAGGAAATTGGGTTTTCAGTTCAACTTCTTTTACAGTTGTTCTGTGACAATCAAACAGTTATCCATATCACTGTCAATCCTGTGTTTCACGAGAGAACCAAGCATATTGATGTTGATTGTCACTTTATTCAGAGCAAAATAGTAGCTGGGGAGATTACGACTCTATTTGTAAAATTTGACGATCAGCTTGCAGATATGTTTACCAAAGCATTGAGTCGTATANTGTTCTGTGACAATCAAACAGTTATCCATATCACTGTCAATCCTGTGTTTCACGAGAGAACCAAGCATATTGATGTTGATTGTCACTTTATTCAGAGCAAAATAGTAGCTGGGGAGATTACGACTCTATTTGTGAAATTTGACGATCAGCTTGCAGATATATTTACCAAAGCATTGAGTCGTACANCTGTCAATCCTGTGTTTCACGAGAGAACCAAGCATATTGATGTTGATTGTCACTTTATTCAGAGCAAAATAGTAGCTGGGGAGATTACGACTCTATTTGTAAAATTTGACGATCAGCTTGCAGATATGTTTACCAAAGCATTGAGTCGTATACGTCTTACAGCTATTTGTTTCAAGTTTGGATTATATGATATATATAGTCCAGCTTGTGGGAGAGTGTTAAGAGTATTAGGGTAGTATGTGTAAATTGTTAATAGTGTTAGAGTATTATGTATAATTCTTATTATTGTGAGTTAACTATAAATACAAGTGATGTATGAGAGCTAGGTTATGTTTTTTTAACCTATCTCTGTTTCTCTCTAATATTGTGTTAATCCTCTAAACTTAACACGTACATATACTTTTTCTGAAATATTCTTTAATATTTGAATCTAGCCAGCATTATTTCCCGTCTATAATTGTTTTTTGAGAAAACTGAATTAGTGTCTCCATACTTCTGAAGCTGGATCTCAGAACAACTATTACATAAAGGCTTAATCCACTGTAGCAGAATAAAAGATCAAGTGTGAAGAATATAGTTTGTTTAAGAAGAATAGTTGGTTCATCATCACAACTCTTTTTCCTCTACCTTTTAGCGTTTTGGGGCCCTACTATGTATAATTATATTGCCCTTTCTTCCACCTCCAAAAGGAAGAGGGGGAGAGGGAGGGGGGGTGGTTTATGCAATGAAATAACAATCAACTGCTTGGTGACTTAATCAGACAGGCTTTTACTGCTTTCTCTCTCTCCAGTAGTCTCGGACTGATCATCTTGCTGCAACAAAGCTAATTTAGGAATGAATCTAATGGAAATTTAGATCTTTGTCCGTGTGAGAGTGCATCACATAAACAAATGTTTTTCGTTTCCAGTCTCCAGGGGATAGACACGGTCGTTTTTTATTTCAACAAGATTCCCATTTTCATGCTTATTTCTATAATGGCTCCAGGGTTTTTATTATTACCTTTTTCTCTCACACTGTTTGTGGGTGGGAAAAAGGATTTGTGAGTTTTCTGATTTTTTGGATTTGTTTTAATTTTGCTAACTAGGATTTGCGGACACTAAATGTAGATGTTCCAAACTGGCTCTGCTTTTCTACTAAGAACAGAAGATTGTAGAAGGTTATTGCACATGTTATTGGATTCATCAAATCATACTATGAAATAAATAGCGAGTGTCTTAGCTGTTTGGAGTTTGTTTTTCCGGAAATATGAAAACGAGGAAAAACAAAAAGAAAACAAAACCCTTCCCTGTAATAGAATTAAAAAGCTTTTACAATCACCAAGAATTCTGTAATGGCTTCTCCAGCAATGCCGAAAGGTACATCTCCCGGAGCTCCGGCCCTCGATCTAACTTTCGTCCTATTATCCACTTCACCTTGTTGAAGCCAATGCTGTTGATAAGCGGGGCATAAACTTCCTCCAACTGCTCATCCACACAAAAGAAATGGTCAAGCCAAAACAGTCCTCCAGGCCTCAGCACCCTGTAGATGTCAAAGAACAAGAAATGCAGCAGGGTGGTTGGTATCCAGTTACTCAATACATGCATCGAGTGCACGATATCAAGTGTGTTATCGAAGAAGGGAAGTCTCCGAGAAATGCTTATGTACAGAGGAACAACGCCTCTTGATGCTATAAAGTTGTTGAAAGGACCATTCAAGTTCATGGAGGTTGTTACAACAGTAATGTTCCTTTCCCTCATCCGTATAGCAAATGTGGCCACACCACCTCCAATGTCGAGCCCTATTCGGATTGTGCCAGGCTTCTTTACCGCCAGTACTTCATCAATGGTGAAGTCAAGTCCACCACCACTCTTCGATCCAGCCCACCGAGTCTTCTCTATACCTTGGAGATCAAAACAGTCTTTACAATCATCAAAGCCTTTTTGGTTGTGCACGCGGTTGATGAGACACAAGTAGTTCTTGCAGGTATATGCTGTCCAAACCACTGATGAATCAGATGGTGTGGACCAAAAGCTATCAGGGAGAGGGTAGGGTTCAACATATTCTTGTGCAGCAGCCGGACGGCAACGACGGCGAGGGAGTGGCTCACAACCCTTAAGAAGGAGCTTTTGGGCTAAGAGCTCATCATCAGGGCAGGATCCATTGACCTTGTATGACATGTAGTGGCGAAGTTCATCAGGAAAGAGAGTGCATGGACGACCAACTGGAGGGAGGAGCTTGTCAGAATCAAAATTTCGGTTGACTCCAAATGGGAGTTTTTGTGGAGATGTGAAGGCGATGAACTCAGGTGGGAGGTCTGATGGTGTCTGAGAGTTATCAGATACTTGAACGTCACTGTTTTTAGCAGCTGGATCGGAAATGATGGAGCCTGTGGTGATGACAGTGGTGGCAGTGTTGGTAGCAGTGTTTGTCGTGGGATTTAAAGAGCAAGACGAGTAATAGGTGGTGGAGAAGAACAGGGTCAGAAGATTTGAGGACAAAAGAAGGAAGAGAAAGAACAGATTGCTGGAGAGACACTTGCGCTTATGAGGGGAATCCATGGGTTATGTTTCTGATTGTTTTTGGTTGCTTGGAGTTGAAGATGCAAGTGAAGGTAGTAGTAATATGAAGTTGGTGGGAGGTGTCTTTCAATGTGCTTGTAGGACTTCAAATGTATCAATCCTTATGATTTTACCATTTGAATATATGATTATAATTGGTCCTCCAATCTTTAGTCAAGCAATGTGTAATTCCACTTTGCCCATATTGTGCAGGCAATTATTTTACTTAAGCATGGATAGTTTCGTCTTTGGGCTCTTCATTTCTGATGCAAAGTAGGTGCCTTAGATCATGATTCATGATAAATTAATGTAGCAGGTACAAGATTAACTCATACAAGGTCAACTATGGGTGAAGCTCAATGAATCCAACATCACAAATTAATCTTCTACTCATAGAACCAAGGTTTGAATTTTGAATTATTAATTTAAGTGAAGACTTCCCTTTTTAATAGATTATCTCTTTGTCCTTTAATGATAATCCCTCTAACTAAGAGAGAGGCAAAAGCACTGTTATGTAGGTGGATCTGAGCCATGAAAACAATAATACTTGAGGGATGATGTTATTTTATTGTGTCCTAAATGTCATGGATCTGACTCACAAAATAGTATCAGATTATATATGTATAAACTTTCCTGGACCTTCTTAACCACCTGCACTTAGGTATACCGTTACGGATCAAGCAGTACACCCATTTAATTCCAATGACCTTCTTTCCCTCAGGAAGAGAAGTGAACTTCTAAGTATTATTTTTTTCAATGACATGATTTTTTTTCATTCATTGCTTTCACTCAATGTTTATACCTACACACATCATTCAAAGTAACAAGATCACAAACTTTTTTGTCCCAAAACCATATTGTCGAAAGGAGATTGGTAATTTTAGTCCCGGTGGTTATTAGAGACCGTTCTATGCTTGCTAGCATTTGCTTGAGACGATAGAGAGATTCTGGTGTGTTGGCTGCCTTTTAGGCGGATCTCAACCATAAGCATGCATTCAATGACCATAAATTTCAATCCCAGTACAGTTCTATTTGTACTTGGACTTACTAATTTTTTATGGGAAAGGCGGTGTGTTTTGCATATTTAATGGAATGATCCACATGCATCAGGAATCCATGCATCTAATTTTTCAATCTGGTATGGATGCCATACACAAAGTCATTGGTTTCTTCAAACAGATCTGTCCACAAGGAATTGACAGATAAATTAATCAATTAGTTGTTCACTTCCTNGTCATTGGTTTCTTCAAACAGATCTGTCCACAAGGAATTGACAGATAAATTAATCAATTAGTTGTTCACTTCCTCAGGAGACCATTAATTAGGATTAATAGCACTTTTGATTCTTAATGTATATATTTTTTATTAATTTAGTCTTTAATGTATCAATTTTCTCAATTTAGTCTCCAAAGTATTCAATTCGTGTCAATTGGTTCTCATATGCAGGAATTGTTAAGTTTTTTTATAGAAGTGATTACATGTTATTTTTTAAAACGGTATTACGTGTCCAACATGTGATCATTCTGTCAAAAATTTAACGGTTGTCTATGTGGGGATCAAAATGACACGAATTGAATAATTTATGAACCAAATTGACAAAATTGATATATTGAAGACTAAACTGATAAAAAATGGATACGTTAAGAACTAAAAATGTTGCTAACCCAATTAATTACTTTAAGTATACTCTGTGAAGATTAGGAGTGTTCAAATTTTTGATTACCCGCAAATTTCGACTCTATTGATCAAATATCCAAAATANTGCTTTCACTCAATGTTTATACCTACACACATCATTCAAAGTAACAAGATCACAAACTTTTTTGTCCCAAAACCATATTGTCGAAAGGAGATTGGTAATTTTAGTCCCGGTGGTTATTAGAGACCGTTCTATGCTTGCTAGCATTTGCTTGAGACGATAGAGAGATTCTGGTGTGTTGGCTGCCTTTTAGGCGGATCTCAACCATAAGCATGCATTCAATGACCATAAATTTCAATCCCAGTACAGTTCTATTTGTACTTGGACTTACTAATTTTTTATGGGAAAGGCGGTGTGTTTTGCATATTTAATGGAATGATCCACATGCATCAGGAATCCATGCATCTAATTTTTCAATCTGGTATGGATGCCATACACAAAGTCATTGGTTTCTTCAAACAGATCTGTCCACAAGGAATTGACAGATAAATTAATCAATTAGTTGTTCACTTCCTCAGGAGACCATTAATTAGGATTAATAGCACTTTTGATTCTTAATGTATATATTTTTTATTAATTTAGTCTTTAATGTATCAATTTTCTCAATTTAGTCTCCAAAGTATTCAATTCGTGTCAATTGGTTCTCATATGCAGGAATTGTTAAGTTTTTTTATAGAAGTGATTACATGTTATTTTTTAAAACGGTATTACGTGTCCAACATGTGATCATTCTGTCAAAAATTTAACGGTTGTCTATGTGGGGATCAAAATGACACGAATTGAATAATTTATGAACCAAATTGACAAAATTGATATATTGAAGACTAAACTGATAAAAAATGGATACGTTAAGAACTAAAAATGTTGCTAACCCAATTAATTACTTTAAGTATACTCTGTGAAGATTAGGAGTGTTCAAATTTTTGATTACCCGCAAATTTCGACTCTATTGATCAAATATCCAAAATAATCGGATAGACCAACAAAAGATATTTTAGTATTCCGCAAAAAATTAGGTAGGAATATGGAATACTTACAAAATTTTCGTATTTTTATCCTACCTTACCCGTGTATATATATATATATATATTGATATATATACTTAAAAAATTTTATTGATGTTTATTATTTTCTTATATATGATGTATTGATGTTTATGGCTTTCTTGTAGTGTTTTATTGTAATTGTTTATATATTATCGAATTTATTATATTTTATTTAATATTGTTTGTTTATTATGATAATTAATTGATGCAAGTTACTTAATTAAATTGTTAAAATGATCCAAAAATTAATAACTAAAAAAATATTTTCACCCCACTTCCTATCTGATTGTTTTGGATGGAATTCGGATAGAAATAGTACACTTAATCGAATGGGGTAGGACAAGAAAATTTTTTTTCATAAAATATCAGATAAGAAGAAGGAACACCATAATTCCTAAATATAAGATAGGGTGAACACCCCTAATGAAGACCCCAAATTGTAGAGGCAGTGTTGAAATTACAATTTTCTCATATGTTAATTGTCCTAAAAGTACTTGGATTCGGAGTTAATAATTCTTAACATGACTTGATACGAAATTGATGTGAACGAGTATGAGATCAAGCCATAATCCGGTTAACCTCTCAAATCTACTTCATAAAAAGGTCATTTTAAGTTTGCTTGTACACGAGACAAACTGGCACAATAGAAACCGATTATGAACAATCCTAAAGAAATATATGGAATTATGGATTGAGTAAAAAAAAATTTTGGTATAAAAGTAGATATGTAGATAGATCACTCAACTTATTTATCTGAGAACATTGTCGCTTAGCATGACACAATTACTTGTGAGAAGTTCCACTACCCTTATGTCGAAGTCAAAGTTAAAGACTTGTCACATGAACGTGGAAGAATAAACTCGAAAATGGGCTCTTTAGGAAAAACTCTTGGCCAATTCCGTGTTTATATGCCATTATGAGGTCTACACATACCATGGATCCCCAGCTACATCAAGTAAGCCAGCACATGGATCCAAAAAAATACTTGAGTTGCTGCTTTTCCAATAAACTTAACAGTAAATTCTGAGTCCTTGATCAAAGAAATTGCTCCCTAAAAAGTACCTATGGATCCTGCAGAAGGCTTGTCGAGGAGAGTTATATGGAGTGGCATTCAGAAAGGTTACAACGAGGTTTCCTTTTAATATATATATATACTAGTCATAATTTGTGCCTAAAGGCACAATGAAATATAAAATTTGAGCATCTAAAAAATCGATTTCACTGTATTAAATAATAATTTTTATTTCCTTTATTTATTTGATTACATCATTTAAAATTTATTTTTACCCATTATTTTTTTAAAAATATCCACAAAAATACATAATTCGATTAATTTTTTCAACATGTGTATATCGTATATGGATAATGTTTGAAATAAAAATTATATTAAACTACAAGTTAATCAAATATTAAATGATTAAACATGTGATTGAAATAGGTGATGAGATCGTTTTGGGAAAAAAATATGTATGAGATAAAATTTCAAATACCTAGTTGTTTTATTATATAAATTTTTTCTGTTTACTTGGATCTAAATTTTTTCTAATATATTTATTTNGAGATCGTTTTGAGGGAAAAATATGTATGAGATAAAATTTCAAATACCTAGTTGTTTTATTATATAAGTTTTTTCTGTTTACTTGGATCTAAATTTTTCTAATATATTTATTTCTCTATTTCCATTTTCAGTCTTGGTAGGTTATGTCTACTTATATACGATAAATCTCACATAAATTCACGGTAGGTAAATCCATCAAGAAGAAAAAATATGGAGAAAATATATCGACGGGAATCTAACCAATCTTTTCCTTATCGGAAGGTTATCTGCGTTGAATTCAGAAGGGACAAATTGTTTATAAGCTACCCTTTTAGTAGAGCATCTCTAGTCCTTTGTACCCAAGTTTAAATTTGGGTAAAAATGGTTTAAAATGCTTCTTCAATATTAGACTTATATTCATACTAAATGAAAAAAAAAATATTTTTTAAATTCAAATCAAGAGAGACCCAAATCTATACCCAATTTTTTAATAGTAAGATTTCACCATCCTTTAAAGATTTAATTTTCATATTTTACTCTCTTTTAAATTTGGATTTGTCCTCATTTAAATTTAGGTTTCTCCTCCTTTAAATTTGAGTTTCTCCATTGAAGAGGTCTATATCAAATCAAGTTTTTTTACATTTTTTTTTTACTCAAATTTGGATAAAAATTTGAATTTTCATTGAAGATTGTCTAATACAATCTATAAAAACAAAAA